GTGGTGTCCCGTGATGTCCCTTGGTGTCCCGCGGTGTCCCAAGGGTATCCCGCGGTGTCCCCTGGTGTTCCGCCGTGGTGTCCCGATGGTGTCCCAATCGATAGTTGAATCGGTAGTGAGATCGAAAACGACTGAGATGTGGTGAGATCGGTCGTGAGATCGATAGTTGGATCGAACGTGAGGTCGACAGTGAGATCGGTAGTTGCATCGATCGTACGAGCGGCAGTGAGATCAATAGTGAGATCGATAGTTGCATTGATCGTGAAATCGATCGTGAGGTCAAGAATGCGATCGATTGCGAGATCGACAGTGAGATCGATCGTGGGATCGACTGTGAGCTGAATTGTGAGATCGATTGAGATCTCCTCAGAGATCGAACGTGGAATCGATAGTGAGATCTGTCGAGTGAGATCGAAAGTAAGATCGATCGTAAGATCGATAGTGAGTTCGATCGGGTGAGATCGACAGCGGGGTCTATGATGACATCACATCGCGGCGCAACATCGCCATCACGCGTCGTCGCCAACTCGAGGGCACGCCACCAGCATCGTCATCATCAACCTCAACGCAGCTGCCAGAAGTTGGTCCTTTACCCTCCCCCAACCTCCTTATCACCCGAGTGGTGGCCGTATAGTTATACGCTGTTCCCTTCGGGTTTCGCAGGACGTGTCCCCCAACTGTGGGGGGAGGGATGGTAGGGCTCGGGATGGGGATGGGGATAGGGATCGGTCAAACGATACTGAATGACAGCGGGGGGAAGGGGATAAGACGAGGGAGGAGGCGGGAGCGGGGACCACGCACCACCCTTCCTCCCTCCTCCCCCCTCCCCCGCCCTCCGCGCCCCCAGCCCTATCAGAAAGCCCCCACAACCGACGACGACGACGACGGCGACGGCGACGGGCGACGGCGACGGCGACGGCGACGGCGACGGTGACGACGGCGGCGACAGTGGCGGCGAAGGGGCGACGGCGGCGACGACCGCCGGGGGCGGCCGCGCGTGGCGCGGAGGCCCGCCGCCCCCGCCGCCCCACCGAACAGCCCGCGCGGGAGGCCGCAGCGCGGCTGCGTGCAAGAGCGGGCCTTCGCCAGGGAGGCCTCCCCTCGGGGGCGGCCAAGGAGGGGGCGCCCACAAAGGGCGCACGCGTCAAGCCACATGCATGAACACGGCCGCCCAATCCGCGAGGCGAGCCTCGTGATACGAACGTGCGCGCAGTGCGCACATTCGAGACCACCGTAGACTCATGAACGCGTACGTCCTTCGCTCGCTCCTGAAAGGGGGGTCCGCAAATCATGGCCAGAGGCACGTGCGCGGACGAGGCAGGGACCAAGGGACGTGTTTAAAGAAAACGAGACGATAAAGGAGAGATCATGGCCCCCGCCATGATATCCCCCCCTAGTCATCACCCCCCTCTTGGACGCCCCCGATCCACGCATCGCGAACAAGAAAGACCTGAGATCCATGCGTTGCATGTTTTCAAACCGGGCGATGTTGCACAATGTTTACGACCCCAAAACCTCGCAGATCGATCCGGCTCGAAAAAAACACCCTGGCAAGCGACCAGTGTATATGCAGTTGTTGAAGCTCCCTGGAGCCCGTAGGCGGGGGCCCACACAACCCAAACAGTGCGAATCCAAAAACTTGTAGAACTCAGATAATTACTCCCACGAAAGGACCCCACATGAGAATCTGTTTAAATTGCCTGGGGATCACCTCCTGCCCCCTCCATTCTCCCAACTACTCCTGCCTCCGCCTTCTCCTCCTACCTGATCCTCCTCCTGCCTCAACCCCTGCCTTCTCCTCCTCTTACCTCCTCCACCACCTCCTCCTGTTCCCTCTCCCTCCGCCTCCTCCTCCTCTTCCTCGTCCTCTGCCTCCTCCTCCTCCTCCTCCTCCTCCTCTCCCTCCAACTCCTCCTCCTCCTCCTCTCCCTTTCCCTCCTCCGCCGCCTCCTCCTCGTCTCCACCTTCCCCCCCATCCTCCTTATTCTCCTCCTCCTCTTCCTCCTCCTGCCTCCTCCTTTGGCCTCGTGCCTCCTCCTGGGGCCTCCTGGGGCCTCTTGGGGCCTCCTGGAGCCTTCTGGGCCTTCCAGGACCTCCTGGGGCCTCCTAGGGCATTCCTTATCCTCCTCCTCCTCCTCCTCCTCCTCCTCCTCCTCCTCCTCCTCCTCATCGTCATGTTCCCCCTCTGTCTCCTCCTCCTCCTCTTCCTCCTTCTCTTTCTCGTCCTGCATCCTCCTCCTCCTCCTCCTCTTCCTCCTCGTGCGGAACACGACCTAGAGGAGACGCACGACGTACGTCCCAGCGGCTACGCGCCGAAACACGACCCAGAGGAAACGCACGCCCGAGGACGACCCTGAGAAAACACATGAGGTACCCGCCTGATCCTCCTTCTCCTCCTCCTCTTCCTCCTCCTCCTCCTCCTCCTCCTCATCCTCCCTGACACCGCCACAGCGCCGACCTCCCTGCTTCGTGAACCCATGGCCACGTTTCTGAACAGGGTCTCCTAGCGTGGCACCGGTGCATCTAGAATAACAAGCAGGTGACGGGACACTCCAGGCATGTTCCCAGAATTGGCAACGGTCCATGGAGGCCATGCGGGCCAGCATCCGTGCAAACATCTCAGGGTCAGCGGAGTGATTCGAAGATCAGCTTGACACACAGACCCCGAGCGGTCACATTCTTATCCTCCCCCTCGTCCTCCTCCTCCTCCTTCTCCTCCTCGCCCTCCCTGCTTTCTCGGAGGGAACGCATGCCTCGCTAGGAGCCTTCCCCGACGCCGCGTCGGGCGGCGCGTCGCCTCGCAAGGACGACCCGGGGACGACGAGGGGCAATCTGCTCCGCTCCCTCCTCCTCCTCCTCCTTCTCCTCCTCCTTCTTCTCCTCCCCGTAGTCCTCCTCGTCCTTATTATCATCCTTCTCCTCTTTCACCTCCTCTACCTCCTCTTTCTCCTCCCCCTCCTCCTCCTCTTCTTTCTCCTCGACCTCCTCCTCATCCTCCTCCTCCTCCTCCTCATCATCATCCTCCTCCTCCTCTTCATCCCCCTCTTTATCCCTCCCTCCCTGCCTCCCTCCCTGCATCTTTATTTTTGTTTCTCTCTCTCTCTCTTTCTTTCTCACCTCTCCCTCGAGCGGATATCTTGCTCACTCGCACGATCTCGCGGCTCCTCCGACTTTCGCGACGAGCAGAGCACGACCCCGAACCTGGAAGTCCTGGGCCGGAACCACTCGGTGCCGCTGCTGTTGCTGCTGCCGCTGCCGCCGCTGCTGCCGCTGCCGCTGCTGCTGCTGCTCCTCCCCCAGGAGCTGGGGAACCACTGGATGCCGCTGATGCTCCTGAAACTGGAAATTTCGATCTAGATCGTGCATGCTAAGAGACGATCATACTGTTCGTATTCTCGTTGGTTGTAACTGCTGGATGTTGCTTCGGTGCTGTGGCGGCTTCCCCCGTACGTACCAAAATATTCCTCCTCCTCCTCCTCCTCGTCTTCTTCCTCCTCCTCCTCCTCCTCTTCGTCCTCCTCCTCCTCCTCCTCCTCCTCCTCCATTTCTTTCCCGATCAGTCGTCGCAGCACCGAACCCATCGCCGCGGCGATTTAACTCTTGAGCTAAGTCGGTCCCAGGCTGGTACGCCAAACGTGGGAATCACCAAATTTCGGGAATAAATCGTTTCGTTGCTGGCCCGTCCACCAATTTCGCGGCACTTGAACTCCGGAATGAAATCTTCCGCGGGCTGGCTATTACCCCGGGGTCGGGGCGACTTAACTCCGCAGTTCAGTCTTGGATAACCTCCCGGTTTCAGTCGCTTCCCTCCTCCTCCTCCTCCTCCTCCTCCTCCTCTCCTCTTCCTCCTCCTCCTCCTCCTCCCTCCTTCTCCTCCTCCTCCTTCCCCCCTCCTCCTCCCTCCCCCTCCCTCCCCCCCCATCCCTCCCCCCCCTCTCCTCCCTCGAGCGCCGAAGCCCGGTCCGTGCCAGCGTCCGCGCTTGCGCCCGCGCCGAGCTTCGCCAGAACCGCGTTGAACCAGTAGCCGCCCCCACGGGTCCGCGCAGCCGCTCCGGCTCAGCCCGCAAGCGCAGCGGCCGGGGCCGCGCGCTCGCCTGGCAGGGCCGCCTCCGCGCCCAGTGCGGTCTGGAGCTGGCGAGTCGTCGCGGCTTGCACGGCCACTGCGAGTTCCCCGCCCCGGCGGCGCGCGTGGGCGCCAGCCGCCGCGGCGGCCGCGGCAGGGTCGCCCCCGGCGGGCAGCTGCGCGCGGTCCCACGCCAGCCGGCGCAGGCGCCGCAGGGCGGCCGGTCCGCAGCGGCCGCCCGTCCGAGCGCGAGCGGCGCCTTCCGCCAGGGCGCGCGCCCAGCGGGGTGCCGAGCGCGCTCGTCGGCCCCTGCGCCCCTGTTGACAGCGCCGCCCCACGCCGCGGCAGCCCAGAGCGCCGCCCGGCACGCCGTAGCGAACGGTGACGTCAATGAAGACTCGCGGGCAGCCAGCCCGCGATATCCCGGAATGATATCCCCAAGTCGAGAACCCTGAGGTCCTTAAGATCGGAAGCTTTCGATCTTAGACAAGAGGATCGATATAATGATCCTTTTGGTGTGTTAGGATCAATAATTCGATCCTGTAGTTAAGTTGTCGTGCGTTGCGGTGTGATCGTTTGAAAAAAAAAAAAAAAAAAAAATCCTCCTCTCTCTCTCTCTCTCTCTCTCTCTCTCTCTCTCCTCCTTTACTCACATATTGCACCAGTAATTAGCACAACATACAAACACCACGAAGACACATAGCGCATCCGTGCATCGTGGTTGAACATTGGCACTCGGCCTGCCCCGACTGGTGATCCGATTGCATCGCACGGGCTGTCCCTGATCTGCTTGTGCTTCGTGTCCTTTGGATATTCGAGGGCAGACCACCCCCGCCACCCTTGCCCCAACCTATCTGGTCCACCGTTGCCATTTGGGCTGTTCAGCGTGGGTCAAGCCAGCGATTGCATTCGCTTGTGGACTTTCAGTCGGCGGGCGATGTCGACAGACGTGGAGAAGCTCGGTCGCTGCTTGGTTGACTTCGCGAAGGCGCCCTCCTTTTTCAAGGGCTCGGGTAAATCGGGGGGGTTCGGCAAGTCCTCCAACATCCTGAGTCAGCATCGCATGTGGTCCGAGATATCTAAGGTGAGGCCTTCGCTGAGTTGGAGCAAGCCCGAGGCGACGGAGGCGATGGGGGTCGTGCTCAAGGAGCGCAAGGAAAATTGGAAGGAGTTCAATAAGGATGACGAGACGGATTGGCTCAGCAAGATGCCGAATCGTTTCAAGTTCGTTTGCAGGGCCATCAACCAGGCGAGGCTCAAGAAGACGAGCAAGTGGGTCCACAAGCTCGGTCTCGCCGCCGCTTCCAAGGAGGGCGCCGCGGCGCAGGCTACAGACGTTGACGGGGATGCGCAAGCCGAGGATGGCGAGGATGAGCCCGTCGAGGACGAAGGAGAGGAAGAGGACGAGGCCGAGAAGAACGACGAGGACGACCTACCGCTTTTGCAGCTCTCCGAGGCTGCTGTCAAGGAGCCCGACTCCGACAAGCAGCAGGGCGTCGACGGCGCCGTTGGCGCGTCCGAGGTGGGGGCCCAAAACGTACTCAGAACAGTGGAGCGGTTGAGTAGGGCTTCGAGCGTGGGTGGTGGTGAATGTGGTAGGTGTTGAGGGAATGCCTCCCCCGCTCACCACCACCCGCGCTCGAAGCCCGACTGTGTCGCCACTGGCATGCGTGCGTTTTGGGTCCAATAAGGGCGCTGGCGCGCCAGCTTCGTCCGCCGACGGCCAACATTACGCCCAGAAGGACAGCCTCAAGCATGAGGGCAAGTACGTATTGGGCTTCTGCCGCGAGCACATGAAGGCGTGGAGGTGCATGCCAGGTCAGAAAAAGGAGTTCACGAAGGACGTCAAGAAGCCAGAGGGGTCCACGCCAGAGGACCCAACCTTGGCAACGTGGTCCGATGGTTTCAAAGCTCGCATCTTCCAGTTGAGTTGCGCCGAGTTCGACGCGATCGAGGACACCGAAAAGGTTAGCACCTCCAGGGGTACGTATGTCTGGGAGACTCGCCCGACGGAGAACTCGCGCATCTGGGTGAGCAGGCCTACCTCGAAGAACAACGTGTTCTGCGCCCACTCCAAGGTCGACGGGTCTCAGAGCCAGATGTGCCAGGTCAAGGCGACGGCGTTCGGGGATGACGAGGAGCAGATCAAGGAAGCCGAGAAGCTCGCAGTGAAGCTCGCTCAGAAGTTGGCGTCCACGGAGGACACAACCAAGGATATGCTCAAGGAGCTCAGGGACAAGGCGCTGCCCACGCCCACGAAGGTCAAGAGGCTGGCGAGCCAGACCGACGGCAAGCAACCAGCACCAAAGAAGGCCAAGAGCAAGGCGAAGGCCATTCCACCCTGTCAGGCGGAGGCCGCGCAGCCCGTCGTGCCAGCCGAGCCCGTCACGCCAACGCCCGACGAGGGGAAGATCACGGATTTGCCAGGGAGCGCCTCGGCCAACGAGTCCGAGTCCGAGAAGGCGGCCATCTCACACAAGTGCGGGTTCTGCGGCGAGGAGCCCACGTGCCTGGACATCTTCAAGAAGTACAACTTGTGCACGGCGTGCTACAATGAAAATATATTTGGTTGAGGCCTCGAGCGAACGTCGCCGTTCGTAGTAGCTCGGATCGGCGCGAGCGCCGATGCTGCTGGCGGCTCAGCCAGCTACGCGCCCAGAGGCATCTACAGTCATCCCCCTTTCTCGCCACCTCTCCCTCCGTGTCCGAATCCCGTCCAGAGTTATCATCCCTTCTCCTCCTCCTCCTTCCTCCTGCTCGCCTTCCTCGTCTGCTCTAGGGTTCAAGCTTCCTGGATCCTCAACACGGTCCTTATGCAATACGTGATTTCGACGTTCCTGAGGGGCTCTTGAGGGTTCCAGAGGCCCCGAGGAGCTTCGTAGGAATTCCAATGGTCTCGAGGGGCTTCGGGGTGATCTAAATGACCCCAGCTCCTGGCTCGCTCCATCCTCCTCCTCCTTCTGGCCCCTGGCGGTCCCGACAGGACGTGGGAAAGGAACGATTTTCCATGGCGTGATTGCCCATGCCAGCCGCGCCCCAGCGGAGAATCACAAGGGGCAGGGGTGCGGGGGTATATTATTGGCTATGGCCTGCCACTCCGCAACGCCCCAGAAAATGAATGGAAGCAGGAGGAGGGAGGAGGAGAAGGACGAGGAGGAGGAGGGGGAGGCGGAGGGAGAAGGAGGTGGAGGGTAACTAGGAAGAAGAGGTGGAGGAGTACGTCGAAGAGAACTGATCTGCCGTGGTCTATGATGACAGAACGTCTCAGCAGTCGTCAGCCTCGTCTCACCCTCGGCCGTAGCCGTTTTGGCTCGAGATTCGTGTGCGATCACGTCTGGCTTCAGTTCGGTCCGTTTCCAAAGATGACCGACTGCGTCGGCGCATCAGAGGGCCCGCCGTCATGGGCGAACCAATTGATGAGCATTCAAGTCACGGACTCGGTGCAAGGTGCGACCTCGGCAGCCGAAGCACTGCTCAGAGCCGCGGCGATGGACGCTTCGAACATGATTCCAGATGAGAAGTACAGGAAGGAGGACGAGTCGGCACCGCCGACGCCCATCGAGGAAATGCTGGCCAAAGCGTCCGAGGAGAAGAAATTGCCGACGGAAGCGAACAGCGAATTCAACCGGTGGTGGGCGAAGGAGCTGGCGGCGAACACGAAGCTCAAGCAAAATTACAAGCTCGTCGGCAGGGGTTACGAGGCGCAGCGGAAATTCAAAATTGATTGGGCGGGCCAGCGATCTGTGCAGATGAAGGAGGAGCGCACGAAGACCTCCGAGTACAGGCAGGTCGATGGTATGAGGGGTGAGTACTTGCCGCTCTCGATACACGTCAAGAAGGAGGGCAACGATGCGATGGCATTCATTGCGGCGCAGAACTACGTGAAGAATATTGCGACCTTTGTTGCCCAAGGCAAGACCTACAAAGGACGGCCCTGGATTGTCTTCGACAAGCTGTACAACCGCGTCAAGTTTTTGAGGATCCAGGAGTACTTTGACGATTCGAACCAGGAGTCCTGGTCTAAGACCACTCATTTGCTAGATGAAGGTTCCCGCATGCACTCGGAGGCGCCGTCTCGGAGCCAGGCCACGGTAGCTTCGTCGGCATCTGCGGGTCGGGCACCAGCAGGCCCAGCTGCACCTCCAGCTCTCCCAGCGCCTCCAGCGCCTGAAGCAGCTGCAACCGGCCCCCCGGAGGTTCCCGAGCAGAAGAGGAGGAGGGTCGGGACGGCCACCGCGGCGAAGTCCGAAGCCAAGGGCCTCGGCAAGGTCAAAGCGCAGCCCGAGGACGACTCTCGTGCAGCAGCAAAGTCCTTCAAGACGGTCGTTGCGGAGGCGATGAAGATCAAGCAGAAGATGGAGAAGGTCAGCACGGCGGCGTCGGACCTCCTTCAGGCCATCACCACGCAAAAGGAGTGGCATTGGGCTAACAACGACGCCAACCTGAAGGACCTGACCACGCAGCAACTCCTTCTCGGCAAACTCAAGACGAAGGACAAGTTCTGGTGCGCGTGGACCGTGCAGTCTGACTGGGCCAAGAATGTCAAAGTGACATACTCCGAGCCGACCATCGAGTCGAACTTGCAGGAGGGCCTCCCAGCGATGCAGACAGCCATCAACGATCTGAACGCCCAGATCACACTGTTGAAGGACATGCACCAGGCCAGGCAGAATATGATGATCAAGCGCTCCGCGGACTAGCGGCAATGCCAGGACTACGTCGAGGGCTTCTTGTACTGATCGGGGGATGCAGTACTCATGACGGTCCAAGCTATCCTTCAGCGGCTCGCGGTGCCACCGCATGCCTGCCCAAGCTCCTCTGTGCGCATCTGTCTGGCTTGAGGGGCGAATGATGAGGAGGAGGAGTAGGAGGAAGAATGGGGGAGGAAGGGAGGGAAGGGAGGGAGGGCGAGGGAGAGAGGATCCCCAAGAGAGAACGCACGCCAGTTCCTGCATCCGCTGCTGAGAATCACCCTCGGCAGGGAGGGCGCCGCCAAAGTACCAGAGATATCGGCGTCGCTGCAAAGCGAGCTTGATAAATGCAACGTTGGATGCTGCCGTTTGGTGTTCCCGCCTATATCTACAAGAATTTTTCAGAAACAAAGCGTTTGAAAACTTCTGAAAACTCCTGAAAACTCAACGCGCTGAAAACTCCTGAAAACTCGTGAAAACTTAGTTTTCACTGTGACTGTCGCTAAAAACAATAGTTTTCATGAGTTTTCAAGGTCACCCTGAACACTCCTGAAAACTTGAAAACTCCTGAAAACTCTTGAAAACTACCGAGTGCTCGTCGCCGTCTCGCTCTTACTATAGATCAGGATGTCTGCTCTCAACGAAGTAACATTGGATGCGCCATGAGTATCTGAACGCCTGCTGCGGTGTGTCACGCGCCCGTTTCGCTGATGCACCTTCTCTTCAGCCCCCTCGCCTCACGGTAGCAATGACAGAAGTCGAAGAGCGGGCGCTGGAAATCAATGGGGGGTACGAGAACACAAGGGGCATGCGAGACAGAAGGGGCCAGGGGAATTCAACGGGGGTACGAAAACGGAGGTTTGGCTATTCGAGGTCGCTCTTCAGGGGGCGCTATTTCTGATCGCTCTTCTGGGATTGCTATTTCTGGTCGTTCACCCTTGGAAGCTGTTCGTGGTCCGCCTTTCTGGGGTACGTAGCTCGCCTATCTGGAGCGTGCCCCCTCCCCTCCTCGTCCTCTGGCCCACCCCCCTGGTAGAAACCAAGCCTAACACGTCGCGCAACTCGGGCATGCTGTTTTGGAGGGGTAAGCCGAGAAATACCCGCTACGCCCAAAAAGAAACGCACGCCCACCCAGAGAAAAAAAAAGAAAACATAACAAACGACAACATCAACATCCAACGCAATACCCCTAGCCGTTTTGGCTCTGGCTCAAGCCCTTCGCTCAAGCTATCAGCTGGTGGCATGCCTGGTTGGGGCGACGACGTCCCGCAGTGGGACAATTTCGATGATCTGATCAATGATGCTTCCGACGCTGAGGATGATGGCGACAAAGTAGATTGGGACGCGATCTCGCAAACAGAGGCTGGCCAGTCTCTCGCAGACTTGCTGCTCCAACTCAAGCACGAAGGGCACATTAGCTCCAAGCAGTGCTGCGTCATTGCGTTTTGGGCGGAAAAGAGTGGATCAATTGGGCCAGTGTCATCTTTCTCGTTGCGCCCCGACGCTCAGAGCGGGCACTACCAAAGAAAAATCGACAAGGTACTGTCAGATAACCTCGCAGAAGATGGATCTTTATATCAGCTATGGCTTCCGATGAACAGACGGTCCGACGCGAGTCGAGTTGTGGAGCCGCAACCAGTGATACCTGTGCACGAGCGGTTGTGGGATGAAATGTCGGGCTCACCTGAAATTGAACAGCAGCTTCGAGAAATGGTTGATCAGAATTTGCTACCTCCATCGTACTGGTCGCACCCCGTGGTGGTCTCTCATGCGGGCCCCAACCCTGTGCATCCAGTGGCGTTGTACCTCGATGGTGTACCTACCCATCGCCACGATGGGGTCGTCGCGGTCTATGCCTTCTCACTCGTTTCGAAAGTTCGCCATTTGGTGGCCTCCCTACGGAAGCAGGACATCTGCAAATGTGGATGTCGAGGCTGGTGTTCTGTGTACGTGCTGCAGCTCTGGCTACTTTGGTGCGCCAACGCTATGGCGTGTGGGCACTGGCCTGATCGGCGACACGACCAGAAAGCATTCTTGGATGACAGCGACTCCGTCCGTGCGGCCTTTGCTGGATCAGCTGCCCCTGCCATTTGTGCTATCATGTTTCTAAAGGGCGACCTGATGGAGTATTGCACGACTTGGGGATTACCATCGACAGGTACCTACCTATTTGGCTGTCCTTTCTGTCATTGGCCTGGCGACGACAGTCTCGATGATGGAGCCGGCTTGTCTGCAGTAGGAGTTGGGTGGTTGGAACGAACTTTCGACGACTACCTTCAGGCATGTGACCAGTGCGAAATCAGAGTTAACTTATCTCACGAACAGCTGATGTTGGTTCGGGGGGCGCTCCGATATGAAAGGAGTTCCACGGGCCCGCGCGGCCGAGCACTCCGACGAGACTTGCCGTCGCTGGGACTCAATAAAGGTGACAGGTTAGAGACGACGCCAGACCGCCCAGATATAACGTGGATCGACGACATCAGCGGGCCAGTCGACGACGTCGTATTCTGGAGGAGGTCTCGTGAGACGATCGCCAGGAGGCGATGTCCTCTGTTTAGCGCCCAGCTGGGCATAACGCCTCAACGATGTTTCGGCTTAGACTGGTTGCACGTCTGCAGCTTGGGCGTGTTCAAATTCTTCTGTGCATTCTTTGTTCGAAGCTTGTTCCAAGCAAATGCTTGGGGGTCACCTCATACAACACAAGATGCCCGAATCGAATTCAGTGTGCAAATTATGCGCGATGAGCTCTTCAGGTGGTACAAGAAGGAGCGCGACGATGGCCGTGAGCATACACAAGTACAGAATCTCACAGCTTCGATGTTCGGCAAAAAGAAAGCGGAGCTCAATCTGCATGGGAGTGAAACGAATAGTTTTTTGTTGTTCTGCCATACGTACCTTATGCCAAAATATGGGGCCAGCCTCGAAAAATCAGGAGCATGGGCTCGCGGGCTTCATTCATTGGTAACCTTGTTAGCTATCATACGCGAGTTCCACGACACGATGCCAACATCTGAAGTGCAGCGGTTCATTGACAATGTCATTGTTCATATCAGACAATGTAAGGTGCTCGAGCTTCGTGGCATTCAGAAGCACCATTTTTTGATGGAGATGGCTGCAGCCCTTCTTCAGCTTGGCCCGCCAGCATGGTATGCGTGCTGGCGAGACGAAGGGCTCAATGCAATTGTCAAGCGGATCGTGGGGTCATCGCATCGTGTGACATGGGCATTGCGAACGTTACAATCATTCGCAGAACTCCCTCCCGAGAGGAGGTCTTGATTTACCATCGATCACACGATGGTCTTGATCCGTGCTCGTGCCTGGACTGCGCCGCACACTCGGCGACGCCTTGCAAAACACAAAAGAAGACATCACCATTGTGCAATTCGAGAGCTCTCGCTTCAAACATAGATGTGATTTGTTTTACATATGCGACCGCTTCGCGCTGCACCCCACGCGCCGTCTTGGAAAGGTCTTGGGTAGTCTTGGAGCCAGTCTTGGAGCCAATCTTGGAAGCATCTTGGCTTCATTGGGCCCTCTTGGCGGCAATCTTGGGGTCTTGGGAGGCCTTGTAGGCATTACTCGGGCCGTCTTGGAGATTAATTGGGGCAATCCTGGGCTGTCGCGGCGTGACTTCTTGGGGCCTTCAGGCTAAACAGGAGGGTGGGGGGACGAGGGTAAATTCCCGAAGTATAAGTAGCCCAATTTGCGCCCTCCCAAGGGGCCTCGTGGGAGGTCTTTTTGTGGCGGGAAATGGTATACTTTCATACGAATTGTACAATTTTTAGACCCCCCCTGTTTACGTAAACAGGGGGGGTCTAAAATTCGAGTGCCGGGCTAATTTTCTAGCCCAGCTTGTGGTCCCATCTATGCTGAGTAATATCTCGGCGGCGGGTTGGGTGACGTTTTCATCGCTTCGCGATAAGTCCAGTCCAGTCTCACCCACCCAACGCTCATCCCTTGCACCGTTGTCCGCATGGGTTTCGGAAAGGGGCCGACAAAAGGAGCAACCCGCCCGCTCGCGCAAGGGGCCCCACCAACCCGTCACCAACAGGACAGACTACGAATGACATGTTTGTGGGGCCGGTTTTTTGGGGCGGGGGCAACTGTGGCGAGCCCTCCCCCTTCACCCCCCCTAAGAGAAAATGTTCAAACGAAAAACCTCCAGAGTCGCAAACGCATAGTCAATCTGCCCGCACGAGGCCCCAACAAGCACCATCACGGCAGCCAAGAGGACTCATCATTACCCCCAAGAGGCCCCCGACAGGCTCCACACGGAAACCTAGCAAGCCTCCAAGAGGTCTCACACCCACAACCCAGGCACGGTGGCGTGATGGGCAGACGGCCATTCGAAATTTCATCCTCCTCCTTCTCCTGCTCCTCCTGCTCCCCCCCTTCCTCCTGCGCGATTGGGAGAAGAGGAGCGAAGGGATGTTTCAGGGGCGGCCGCTGAAACATCCCCAGGAAGAGGGAAACAGGAAAGGGGAGCGATTGGGAGAAGAGGAGCGAAGGGATGTTTCAGGGGCGGCCCCTGAAACATCCCCAGGAGGAGGGAAAAAGGAAAGGGGAGCGATTGGGAGAAGAGGAGCGAAGGGATGTTCAGGGGCGGCCCCTGAAACATCCCCAGGAAAAGGGAAAAGGAAAGGGGAGCGATTGGGAGAAGAGGAGCGAAGGGATGTTTCAGGGGCGGCCCCTGAAACATCCCCAGGAGGAGGGAAAAAGGAAAGGGGAGCGATTGGGAGAAGAGGAGCGAAGGGATGTTTCAGGGGCGGCCCCTGAAACATCCCCAGGAGGAGGGGAAAAGGAAAGGGGAGCGATTGGGAGAAGAGGAGCGAAGGGATGTTTCAGGGGCGGCCCTGTGCGCCGTTGTAGGTTTAAGTATAGCGTGTTCGGCTTGACTAAGGTGTAAACACGCGTATCTCAAGGCGCGGCGCGGGTTGTCGGCGCGCGAAGACGTCGCGCGGCATACGCAGCGCGCAAGTCACACGCGAATGTACAACGTGAATAATCGC